TAACTAGTGTTGATCTTGATAGGAAGAAGAGATAGAATTATCAAATAGAGGATGAGTAAGACAAGCTTCGATCTTCTATATTTCTCTCAAGAAAATTCTTTACAATTTCAAAACTCTTATGTGTTTTATGACCTACCATATGAGGTTTACAATTTCAAAACTTTTATATTACATTACTTATATTCGAAATAAATAATTCTTTTTAAGAAATCCTTTCAAGAACCAATAACCAATTTGACTAATGAACATTTCTTTTGATGAAATTAATCTCTTTATGATACTTAAACATATTTAATTCTAACATTCACCCCTCTTAAACTTATTTCATCTAACATATTAAGTTTCTTTCGAAATTATTGAAATATTTCAAATTTAAGAGGTTTTGTAAGTATATCGGTCACTTGTTTACTTGTATTGACATGATGTAACCTCAGTTACCGTATACCTACCACCGCTTGACATAGTCTCGGAGACTGTGCCACAAATGGTTCCACTAGTTTGGGTTATTATTTGGGCCTTTCACTTGGCTCAACATAGCTCAAACTTGGGCCCAGTTGGCCCCTATTGAGTTGACCTAATTACATTCTAAACCGACTCAATTAGACTCTAAACTAACTCGAGCTAGACATAATCCATTGCAAGTGAATCTTATGTTGTTCGACACATCATTGGTTCTTTCGGCACTTCGTCTGATCCTTCGGCGTATCATCCTCTCCTTCGGCGTATTGTCCAATCAGCATGTTGTCTTCTCACACCATCTGATCTCCTTGGCATAATGTCCGATCTTCTTGGCTCGATGCCCGAATTCATGGACCAAGCCTTCTACCGACATGTCGATCGATCCTCCGGCCCGACGTCCAATCTTCTGACATATTTGCTCCGGCTCAACATTTGATTCCTCCTGCTTTAATTGATTTACCTTTTCTGATTGAAGCTAGTCCTGCATCACTTAAATTCACATTAGATGACAAACACATCAATTGATTTCATCATCAAAATCTGAGATTTAATAATATATTAAATAACCCCTTAGTTTTATTCTCTATGAACAAGAAGACAAAGTATACAAATTAAAAAGGGCTCTTTATGGGCTTAAATAAGCCCCACAAGCATGGAATTCTCGAATAAATACTTATTTTATTCAAAATATTTTTCTAAATTTTCACATGAATATGCTCTCTATATGAAATCTAACTCTAATGGAGATATCTTGTTTGTATGTCTATATGTAGATGATTTAATATTTATAGGTAATAGTAGCTCCATGATTAAAGACTTTAAGCACTCTATGAAAAAAGAGTTTGAGATGATCGACTTATGTTTAATAACTTATTTCTATTGAAGTTATATAAGATAATAGAGGAGTTTTTATCTCATAAGAAAATTATGCAAAGAAGGTTCTAAAGAAGTTTTCTATAGAAGATTGTCATCCTATAGATACACTTGTTGAATATGGCACCAAGCTGACCAACGAAGGTAAAGGTAAATATATTAATCCAACTTATTATAAAAGTCTAGTTAGATGTTTAAGGTATTTAACATGCACTCAACCTGATATACTATCTGGAGTTGGTTTAATAAGTAGATAAATAGAAGTTCCTAAGACATCTCATTTAAATATCGTTAAAAGAATTTTACGATATATTAAAAGAATAATTGAGTATGGAATGTTCTATTCATCATCTAAAATGTTAGAGCTTATTGGATATAGTGATAGTGATCGGGCCGGAAGCTATGATGATCGAAAAAGTACAATTGGATTTGTATTTTATGTTGGTGAAACTACATTCACTTGGTCTTAAAAAAAACAACAGATCATTGCTCTATCAAGTCGTAAATCAGAATATATAGCTGCTTCTTCTAGTGTTTGTCGTGCAATCTAGCTAAGAAGATTACTCCAAAAACTTCATATCCACAACAGAAGTCAACTAAGATTTATATTGATAATAAATCAGCTATTGCCTTGGCCAAGAATCTAGTCTACCATGAAAGATCGAAGCATATCGACACAAGATTTTTTTTCATAAGAGATCGTATCAAAAATAAAGAAGTGGAGCTACATCATGTCAAGACAAGTGAATAAGTGACCGATATACTTACAAAACCTCTTAAATTTAAAATATTTCAATAACTTCGAAAGAAACTTGATGGAACAAGTTTAAGGGCGGAGAACGTTGGAATTAAGCCTGTTCAAGTGTCATAATGAGATTAATTTCATCAAAAGAAAGGTTTATTGCATCAATAGGGAGATTCATTACATCAAGAAGAAAAAATATATTAAATATATATGAAAGGATAAGTCAAATTGATTATTAGTTCTTGAAAGGATTTCCTAGAAGAGAATGATTAATTTTGAATATAATTAATGTAATGTATCTTTGGGGACTATATAAACCCCATATATTGAGTTATGAAATAGATAGAGGTTTTGAAATTGTAAAGAATTCTTTGAAAGAAATATAGAAGATTGAAGCTTATCCTACTTTTCCTCTATTGATAACTCTCTTCTTCAACAGCTTTTTCTCCGTTATAAGATCATTCATAGTTTGGCCAAATTGAGAATGATGCTTTGGCCAAATCAATACATTTTTCTCTTTTAAGCATTATTTTTGTTGGAAAAAAGATAACTCCCAATAGTTACAAATAACTATTCTACAAGTGTATTTCAGAATTTAATATCTTTTAGTAGTCTAGTTGAAAAGAAAATGATCAAAACACCCTCTAATGAGATATAAGCCTGTCTAGCTCTCTATAGTTTGTGCCTATCTGAATATTATCATAATAAAATGACAAAATTGATTTCACATTTTCTTATATTTGAAAATTTTATATTTTAATAATATTATCGGATCATCCTAAATCCTAACAATGGAAATAAAACCATCCAAACATACATCTCACACGAAATAATGTTTTTATGAACATACTTGTTGAGTCTCTATATGACATCCCTATCGAGTGGTAGTAGTAGAAACTGAAAAATTAGTATTTGGAATTAATCGATAGAAACCCCACAATTAGCAACTTTAATGAATTATGATTTTATTTAGGATGTGATCTTAGAATTGCATTAACTCCACAATCATAAATTTGGATATTTTATACATTCTAATTTCTGAAGAGAAATTTGGAGCATCTTAAATGTTGGGTTTCCCTTTTGCCAATAATTTCCTTAATCTTGGAGAAAGAAGCTTATTTTTGTTTTTTGTCTGAGAGAGATTATCTCGTGCTCTTGGAGAATTTTATTTCGTTGTGGGATTCTTGTATTCTCATTTCTCATCAATCAGTGGATCTGATCTAATATCTTCTGCAAAACCACTTCCTCATCATCACTTCTCCTATTTGAGAAAACCTAAGCATTTCTTTGCTGCCATGTGTATGCAGAATAAATTCTTTTAGCATGACTCTTATACCAGAGAACTTCTTGTTCAACAAGCTTTTACCATGATAATTTAAGAGCAGCGACACTGAAGGAAAAGATGGTCCTCATCTTCCTCAGCATTCAGCTAAACCTTAACAAGTCTTGCGAGGTGAAACCATGCTTTGGCAGTTTATCTCGAGTTCTATGGATGCCTTGAGACTTGCAATTGTGCCAGCCTAATCATTGTATTATCTCCAGACATTTGGCTCTTTGTGGCTTACAAACACTGAAGCAATCTTTATGGACTACTTGATAGCATCACTTGGTAATTAGTCCCAGCTCGTGTACTACTGTCATTAGGTGGTATAGTGTTCGATAGAGATCTTTAATTCTCAGATGCTTCATCCTCGATTCTCATAGCTGCTGATCTTTTCATGTCATCACAGCCATTGCATTGGGTTAGCTGAACAGGTGGGAGACGCCAATACATTTGCATACTAGACATCATAATTTTAAGTAAATGTAGATTCCAAGCATAGGCAAGAAAAAAAAAGATTTCATTCTAAGATACATATTTCTACACCACTGACACAAATCAAGTATGAGAAGAAAGGGCTTGTAGAGTTCCTTCTCTTCCTGACTATAATAATACTCCAGTGATCCAGCAGATAAGTAAACAATGACAGGAGAAAGGTGAGTCCTATAGATTCCAGCTAACATTTTGAGGTGGCATCCCCATATGTGTCACTACTTCCATGAAAGGGAATACAAAATGTAATGGAAGCTTCAAAGCGAGCCAGGAATATATGCTCAACGTTGTGACTGTCAGTGTTGGCAGACAGGCACAAATCGCATTAAATTGTGTCACACTGATGAGAAATTTGCACTCCTTTTTCTCTAGTTGAAGGCATTCCAATTTCACTATGAAGATGATAAATTAGTGTGCATTGATCTCTCTTGATTGGGATCAAGAAGAAGAAGAAGAAGAAGAAAACTTTATGATCTTCATTTAGAGTACTTGCACTGTGCAATGTACCACAAAGCAGCAGAAGCAAAACCCAGAGGCCTAAAGAGCACATGCTTTCTCTGGCTTCTCACACTCTCTCTCTCTAGCCTCTAAGACTGTGACTCACTCACACTGCTCTCACCATGACTGTGACTCTAAGCACTGTCAACCCTCTCTTTCCTCTCCCTATTCTCTTCCTCCTCCTCGCCTCCCCCACATCCTCTCAGCCCGACTGCAAGAGCTCCTGCGGCTCCATCCCCATCCACTACCCCTTCGGCACCGGCCCCGGCTGTGGAAGCCCCGTGTTCCACCCCCACGTCGCCTGCGACGGCGATCAGCTTACCTTCACCACCCGCACCGGCTCCTACCCGATCCAGTCCGTCGACTACGCCAACCAGGTGCTCTACATCACCGACCCCTCCATGTCCACATGCTCGTCGACGTGCCGAAGCGACGGGTTCTCCCTCGACTGGAACGCGCCCTTCACCTTCGTGGACGGCGACGTCTTCGCCCTCCTCGACTGCTCCACCTCCCCCTCTTCCTCCTCCCCTCTCTTCGCGCCGAACAGCACCGACGGCGCCACGCCGCTGTGCGACACCACGAACGCGCCCATCTGCGCCCTCCTCTACTCGTGCCCGGCGATCAGCCAGCTCAACGTGCCCATCTCCACCTGCTGCATCTACACCCCGGTCACTCTCGGACCCACCTTCGAGATGGACCTCAAGAAGCTGCAGTGCAGCTCCTACTCGGGCATCTACAGCTTCAACGGCGACGAGACGTCCCCCGGCGGCTGGAATTTCGGGGTGGCCCTCAAGTACCGGTTCAGCGTCGACGACGGCTATCCGAGTGCATGCGCCGACTGCGAGAAGAGCAACGGAGTCTGCGGGTACACGGGGAAGTACAACTCCTTCACCTGCAACTGCGTAAATGGCATGAACTCCCCCATCAACTGCTACTTCGCGTCGGTCTCATGGAGTGGTGGCGACAAGCTCGATCCATTGTGGATGGGTAAGAAGAGACATCACGAGGTGAGATAATCTACCACTAGTGAGGATATCTTAACATGTATTTGTTTGTGCGCAGGATTTGGGTTGATCTATGCATGGTGGCTTGTTGTTTGGATCTTGCTGTAAATGACACTTGTGAGAAGATGGATGAAGGTTCAATATATCTAGTCTACTACATATAGCTAGAATTATGTGGTGTTTAGGAACTCGTTTTTGGATTGTCCAGATGTTATCCATTTTGTTGCTTGAGATTGCATATGCTTAGCAGACTTCAATATGGGAATTGCACATCAATGATACACAATAAAGAGAGTTTTTTTTTTTAGAATTTAAATCAATTGATCAAAACAAATTATCATGTGTTCAAAATTACTATAATATATATATATATATATATATATATGACTAATTCAAAATTTAAGTGCTGAGTTGAACCATCTGCCGTTTATACATGAGGAGGAATATTAAAGATATAGCTAACATATTTTGAGTGCATCACCATGATTTTAATAATTTATCTTTATAATAAAAACACATAAAATGAATATAAAAAAGTAAAACAATAGATCATATTCCATCTATAAACTTAAGTTTTAGATGAAAAAATGACAATGAAAAAAAAATAAGAGGCCAATCAAATGGTGCAATCTAAAAGGACAAAAAAAGGAGACATTTTTTTTTCTTTTATAAAGGATAAGTGATTAAGACGAGATTTAAACCTAAAATCTTATGATAAATTATCAAAATAATTATCAACTAAGTTAGCTAACAATAGTACATTACGTAAATATTGATAAAATATTGGATGAAATACAAAGAGACAAATTTTCATTCTTATACAATAATAAATATTTTTTATTAGGTTCCATTTCATATGTCAAGATTATTCAACCTTGCACACGAAAGAGAAGATAATAAAACTTGATAGAAACTAGTCACATTCCCAATATCATATACTTGAAAGAAACCCTTGTTCTGCACTATGGCAATGCTACTTTTTAGAAGGAACATATTCCAAAGTTCATATGAGATGGAAAATATTCTTATCACTTTGGGTGGACCAAGAAGAGCTGGTGTTTCTTAATCTTGATCCCCGTATTGTTTTGTGTCGACTTGAGCTTATTCTCTTGTCAACATACACTCCTTGGTGTGGATCTCAGCTTAGCTAAGGAGGCTTAATCAAATAGGATGGCAAGTTGGAAAGGCAAATAGCCTAGTGATTGGTGAATGCATGTTCTCTTTAGAGCCACTTTATTAGCCTGCACCAGCGTATCAGATTCATAGCCATCCATGAATACCTTTTCATTCTCCTCAGCTGGAACTATGTGGATTTGGGATCATAATAGAGGACCGGATGAATGAGGTTGAAAGATGCAGATCCTTTAATGACGAAACATTTTCATTAAAATTAATACTTATTGCGTTGAGCAATGAGGAGATACCCACCCCATTGGTCGATCCTTTGTGTTTGGATGAGCAAAGTTTTGGGTGTAATTGATTTTTTTGAAGTCATATAATTTTTTATCCTTTAGCAAAATGAATGCCCAAAACACATGTTCAGGTGGCATGCAACCAAGTTTTGTGCATGCTACTATTTATTTATTATGCATGATTTTAATTCATGTTGTGCACCATGCTACCTGATTTAACTTGAGATAGAAGCTAGTGTTGCATCAGGGTCTGATAAGGGTGGATTAGCAGATTGTCTACCCCCTCTCACCTTTGTCATTTTGCCTATGTCCATGGATCTAGCCAAGCCAGTTAGTCTTTTGTTCTTTCTTTTCTTGGCAACAATGTGCAGTGTCCCTCTCCCAGTTGGCATAAGATACAAAAAGGGTTGGATATGGCTTGCAGCTTGATGATGGATATCTGTGTTATCGGAGAATGCCAAATTCTTCAATTAAGGTAAAAAGTGTTGCTCAAGCAAGCTTCAGTTGATAGGATCGATGAAGTGGTTGCTTGGTTTTTGTGGTGTTGCTTGATGTGCATCGAGACCAAGTTGAGGCAAATGAAGTCCTCAATTGCATGTGGTCAGATTCTTTTGAATGCTTCAACAGCTTACTTAATATTCTTCTAAATGCCATTTATAATGTCTGATGGTGACTAATTACTCATTTGATAAGCAACAAGAAAGGCATCATCTGGCTCTGAGTACATGAAAATGCTTCCTCTCTGCTGCTTTAAGCTCTCTCTTTCTCTTCAGCCCATTCAAAATCCTGCAAGAAAAGAAGCAACAAAGAAAGTCCAAAAGAGGAGGAGGCCATGCCATGCCATGCCTTCTTTTGCAACATGCTTTTCCTGGCTTTGGATTACACCATTGTTTGTTTCTAAGGTGATTGCCACTGGAGGACAATATTTCCCACGCATGTTTTAAGCAACTTTAAAGTGATCTTAGCTTGCTGCCAAAGTGAGTGACAGAGAGATGTCAAAGAAAAGCAAAAGTTGAGATTAAGACAAGTCTAAAGGCTCTTTAATTGTTAGGATCGCTTGGAGAGGGGCACCAAAGAACAAGAGACCACACTGTCACAAGGGATGATGTCTTTGTTGGATACATCTTTTACATGCAATGTGATTTCTGCTGATCTCTAGGAAATTTTATGATCCTTTTCCCTTCCATCACCTGTCCTTCCAAGTCATTCAACTGCAAAGCTTTCTCCATCTTTCTCAACTCACAAAGGACAGCACTTTGAGAAAAGCTTGGGAGTGATCAAAGATGGCCCGTTTGTTGTTGGATGCATCCAAGATGAGGGTCGCATCGCATCCCTCGGTCAAGCTCTTCCCTGAGGTCTTCCTGACTTCCCAGCTCTCCTGTAAAGAACATGCAAGGAATGGTGGTCAGAGACAGTGCAGAGATGGCAACAGTATGGAGATATTTCTTGAACTCAGATGACCCCATCAACCACTGCCGCTTTGAATCTGTAATAATTGGGCGTGTGATCACCGAGCAGTACTTTCCCCTGTAGTTCATGCTGCTGCATGATGTATGACATTTGCATGCAGGAGCTGATCACTTTCTACTTTTGTGTACACAGATGTGTGCCATGTCCCTGAATTTTCTACGATCTTCTTCTTTTTCTGTCAGAGCCATCTAACAGGAGATCACTCAGTGGTTATAGGGTTTGGTAAATGATATAGAGATCGATTGGATTGATTACATCTATAAAAACCAATTGCAAACGAATCAAACGATTGATATTACTCCGAGGAAAAAACAACTCATCTTCTTCGACTACTCTCATGACATGCACATGACCTCGCACTCTTGAAGCCCTAAAAGAAACACAGCATGCAGGCAGATATCCTCGTGCATGTATGTCATCAATGCTGGAATTAGAAGAGCTCCTGACATTAAGTGGGAGAAGAAAGAGTTCGACCTCGACAGCCAAGTGTTTGAAGGATCTGCATGCTTCATAGCATCTGATCCTTGTAGATCTCGAAACTAGTCCTGGTATGCCACTCGTGTTGCATTTATGCTATTCCTATCAGTTCCTAAAAGAAAACGATTCTCTAGATTCCTAATAGTTTTGATTCTTAGCATCGATCAAACTACAGGAACAAGAATCTTTGAAGTCCAAGAACCAAAACAAGTGATCTTCCTCACACATTTTGGATACCTGTTTTAAGCTTAGAAAATGGAAGAAGGAGAAGAAGATGAAGCATTTACATATGAGATCTACAAGTTTAGTACAGGTACCTGTTGTGAATGGGATCGGGACCATGAGGTACACTTCTCTTGCTGTTGCAGAAAGGATTCCAACTCATGTGAGCTATTGACGTAGCTGTTGATGAATGCACAGTTGGAGCGGCCATTGGTGGTGTAACTCTTGTTCCTCCACCATATCTGGCTAGCGATACCAGAAGACCAATGCAGAACAAGCATGCTGTGAACCTACAACACCTACACATCTTTTCCTTCTCTTCTTTCTTCTCCTTCTCTCGAGTCTTTCTCCTACTCTTTGGATGTGATGTCTGCAGTGGAGAAGAAGACTGGTTTCTGCCAAATTCCTTTTTTATGTTGCTGATTCTTTTGCTCTCCTTTTTCTTTCTGAATCCTTGCTTTTTATCTTTGGAGTCTGGAAGTGATTTTGTAGTGCTTCTGTGGGACTTTGAACTTTGCACTCTCTAATCCCATGTCACCATCTCATCCTGCTTCAACACTGCAGCAAAATCCACTTTTCTTTGCCTGATTGCTTAAAAGAGATCCAAGAGCTCTTTTTTCAGGTTATCCCTGTAATGTGTGAGCAAAAAAGTCTATGGTCAAGTACAAGATCATCTGATGGCATGCATGGAGGAGAGTGCTCGCTTGATGGTCATCCAAAGTATCAGGAGAAGCATCATGACTACCTGATAAGCATCATGACTAGATTTAGATTAACTCGTTCCTTTACATCTCAAATACACAAGCCATCAACCCTCAAGATCATGTCATTTTCCATTTACCTTGCTTAGGGAGTGGCCTAACAGATGTATATATATATATATATATATATATAGAGGGATATATATATAGTCTACAAGTGAAAATCCAAAACCAAAAGAATATTCAAAGATCAATAAACCAGAAAGCATACTAGAAAGCCGACGTAAAGTTTAACACGATTGGATAAATTTTACCTATGTTGATGGAGAAAAATCAAATTCTTCATCATGTGAGATTAATTATAATACCTTGATTTATCCCAATTCAAGCATGATTTCATTATAGATTCTCTTACATAATTTTCAAAGAATATATATCTTTTTTCTCACCATCTCTAAAAATTCTAGAGAGTACTCTACCTAAACACTATAAGTATTCCATTCCTCACATCTTGTTTTTCTCTCACCAAAACCTCAAAAAATGAGATACTTATAGAAGAATCAAACCATAATTATCATAGTTTTGCTTCTTTTATGAGAACTTCTTGTATTATGATTCCTTATCGCACTTAGACATTCGCTCCAAGAATCCCAGAATATTTACCAATCACAATAATATCTTTCTTAATGAATATTCTATCTACTTTTGTATCTTTTGAAAAGAAAATACCTTTATTTTATGCTCTTTCCAATCGTTATCACTCATATTTGGTGATTTTCTGACCACTGAACTTACTCTTTTTAATATTTGTCACTCATCTTTGTTGATTTTCATACCAATGAACTTGTTGGAGAGAGATTGTTGGGATTTACAAATATTTAAAAATTCTTAGAGTCAATGGGATATATATATATATATATATATATATATATATATATATATATATATATATATATATATATATATATATATATATATAATGTTGGATCTTTAATGTATCAAATATGGATCAAACAAATGTTTTATAGAATCAAAACTGAATTTTGGTTCAAACATGCTTTATAGATCCAAAACAAGATTTTAGAATGTTTCCATAAAACTTATTAAATTCACAATAATATGCATGAAATTCTACGACAATTAAGAAATATATTAACATGGAAGCGTACCTGATGAATCTATCAGAGTATTTTCTAAATTAATCGGTGATTTGGCCTTCCAATTGTAGAGCATCCTTAAGAACTTTAGATTTCTCTTTGATGGGTGAATAGAAACTTCATTCAATTCTGTAATCGGGGATCATAACCCTATTTATATTCATAACTGATGAATCTACAATTATGATTATAATCATAATTGATGAATCTACAATTATGCATCAAGAGTTTCGTATTCCTAATTTATCTCGTTATTAAGTTAAAAATATGACTAATGGTATCCACATAATTAATTTTCATAATAATTATGTCCCTTAGCCAAATAACTTTACTTTAATTAGATAACTTTAATTTTGGATAATCAAAATAATGACTTAATATATTTAATTATACATGTGTGACCCGTAAAATTCTAACAATCTCCCACTAGGTCACATATGTATCCTTATAAATATGTTATACTTGATGATCTCAAAACTATTGTCATTATTAAACAGGACATACAAAACAATCTCATTCATTAGTCATATTAGTATACGATCAAAGCGATCTTCACTATATCAATCATAGCTAAACGCATCAAATGATCACTAATATTAACATAACCAAATGACATAGATCGATTATAAAATATATAGCATGAAAATTACATAAATGTAATCTGTATATGTCAATTTTCAATTGGTCCAACTTTATCTTTATAAGATCATTAATAATTTTAATAGCCATAATGTATAAAGTATAATAAACTGAAGCTTTATTTTTTATCAGAAAATATCTATATAAATATAAAATCTCGCATAGAACATAAAATAAATATATAACAAACTCCCACTAAACTGAAATTTTCTTAAATTCTAATATACTCATATGAGCAGTATGCTCATGAAAGACCTTGGGTGGTACACCTTTTATAAGAGGATCTACCAACATAAATTTTATTCCTAAGTGTTCTATGAAAATTTATCTACTTTGTACCCTTTCTTTCATAACTAGGAACTTGATATCAATGTGCTTTGCTTTAGTGGAGCTCCTATTATTATTGGAGTATAAAACAACTTATTTCTTATCATAATATATTTTTAGTGGTCTTTCAATCTTTTGTACTATTTGTAGCCCTGTGACAAAATTTCTTAGCCAAATTTCATGATTGGACACCTCAAAACATGTTATAAATTCTACCACCATTGTGGAAGAAGTAATAAGAGATTGTTTAGCACTACATTAAGAAATCGCCCCACCAACCAACATATAAATGTAGTCCGAAGTGGATTTCCTACTGTTTTGGTATCCAGCAAAATCGAAGTCAGAATACCCAATGATCTCTAAATGGTCTGATCTCCTATATATGAGTATATTGTCTTTTATCCTCTTTAAATATCTCATAACTCTTTTAGCTTCCTTCCAATGATCCATTCTAGGATTGCTTGAGTATCTGCCTAACACTCTAACAATATACGCTATATCCGAACGCGTACAAACTTGTGCATACATTAGACTCCCTACAACTGATGCATGGGGAATCTTCTACAATTCTTAAGTTTTCATATTTTCTTTAGAGCATTGATTGAGATTGAACTTGTCTCCCTTTGCGACAAGGGTGTCTCTTGATTTGCAATCCTACATGCTAAACCTTTTGAGTACTTTATCGATATAGCTCCTTTGTGATAATCCTAGAATACCCTAAGATCTATCTCGGTATATTTGGATTCCTAATACAAAAGAGGCATCACCAAGATTTTTATCTAAAAATTTCTAGATAGAAATCTCTTAGTTTCGTGTAATAATTTGTGATATACGCAATAATCAACAACGTTCACCTCACAACCTAATTAGATAATTACTTGATGAAATTTGTGATACCACTAACGGGATGCCTATTTCAACCCATAGATAGATTTTATCGATTTACAAACCATTTTTTTTGGTTTCCTAATACAAAGTATTCTGGTTGTATTATATAAATTATTTCATTAATATTTCCATTGAGAAATATTGTTTTAACATCCATCTGATAAAGCTCCAAATTAAAATTTGTGGCTAGAGCCATAATTGTCCTAAAAGAGTCTTTCATTGAAACCAGAGAGAATGTCTCTTTAAAGTCAATCCCTTCCTTTTGAGTATAGCCCTTTGCCTCAAGATGTCTTATACCTCTCCACATTACCATTAAAATCTCTTATGATTTTAAAAATCCATTTACAACCAATGAGTTTCACACCTTCTGGTAACAAGACAAGTTTCCAAATTTTATTATCTTGCATGGACTTATACTCTTGATTCATTGCTTCAATCCACTTATCCGAATTGGAATCCTCCATGGCTTCACGGAAGTTGATTGGATCATCTTCCATTATACCACAACTTGCTTCATGTTCCTGGAGAAATACCATATAATAATCCAAAATGGCACTTCTCCTTTCCCTAGTTGATCATCGTAAAGATGCTGGCTCTTACGGCACAGATTCTTGAGGATGTTGAGTTTGTTCCTCATGAACAATTTCCACATACTGTATGGGAGTTGAAATGACTATATCCTTTTGAGGTACTGAATTTATCACATTAGTGGAAACTATATGAATTAGATCAAACTGAACCAATTCTTCCTCAAAGGTAAAGCCTTTTATCTTATTTCTCCCCCCAAACTCAATATTCTCAAAGAATATAGCAATACCCATCTCAAAAATATTTCTTGATTTGGGATCATAAAATTTATACCCTTTAGATCACTTAGAATAACCAATAAAGTAACTACTCATTGTTCGGGGTTCCAATTTCTTTTTATTAGGCCTGTAAGGTCTTACCTCAGCTAGGCAACCCCGAACATGAAAGTGTCTTAGACTAGGCTTTCTTCTAATCCATAGCTAATAAGATGTTTTTGTAGTTACTTTAGTTAGTATTCTATTAAGAATGTAAGCTGTAGTTTTTATTGCTTCTCCCCAGAGTAACTTTGGTAAAGTAGATTGAGAATCATACTTCTTACCATGTCTTTAATTGTGTGATTTCGTCTTTCAGCTACACCATTCACGTTAGGTGACCCTAACATTGTATACTGAGGGACAATTTCACACTCCTCTAGGTATAAAGCAAATGGTCCTAGATATTGTTCACCTGAGCCGTCATTTCTGTCATAATATTCCCCTCCACGGTCATATATGATGCTTTTTATCCTTTTGCCGAGTTGATTTTCAACTTCAGCTTTAAATGTTTTAAACACATCCAAAGATTGAGATTTTTCATGTATTAGATACAGGTATCAATATATAAAGTAATTGTCTATGAATGATATAAAGTATTATTGACCATTCCACGAAGGTGTAGGAAATGACCTACAAATATCTGTATATATCAATTCTAAGACGTCTGTAGCTCTATATGCACATGATCTCTTAGGTTTGGTTTTTTACTTTTAATTCATTCAACACAAACATCTAAACTTGATAAGTCAATGGGATCAAGAATCCCTTCTAACATAAGCCTTTCAACTCTATTTCTAGAGATGTGACCCAAACGTTTATGTCATAATACACTCGAATTTTTAATTTTACATTTAGTACCTCACAATTTCGTATTTAGAGATTCATGATAGGATGCTATAGTATCAAGTAAATATAGATTATCATAAGACATAAGTGAACTAGTTCCAATCACATTTGAATTTAAAG